CACTGAGTGGATCATTTGGCTTCTCTACGGAAACACAGAACTGCAGAGATTTTACAATGACCTCAAAGGCCCAAACCATGACCCAAAGAAACCCGTCTCGTATTATGAATCAATCAACACGAGTCTAGGTAGTCGGTCAAAAGAGCCTGTTCTCCATCCACAAGTGGTTCACTGGATATCGTACATTCGAAGCCAACACCCGGAGTGTCGGCGTAAATCAGCAATCAATGACCTTCTGAAGTTTGTGGAAGAAAGACTGCTAGTTTTTCGCCTACCAGATCGTCGGCCGACGACAATCAGTCGTGCTAAGTCTCAAGGCACTCCATTGCCAGCCCCGAACGTTGAGGACACCGCCATTCGGTACAGAGCCACGTCAATCGACTTCGAGAGGGCGATGAGCAACATTCTCCGTGAGGTAGAAAAGTCACATGATTACCTTCTGATGTCCTCAGTCGCGGAACTTTCAACAGCTTCTCCCCCTCCGCCGCGGGGATCGCGATTACAACCCCAGATGGCTGCCTCGACACCATCTGCGACACAGCCAGCTGCCGGTCTCGGCGTGCAGCAGTTGGCTTTGCCAACAAGGACAGCTAGGAACAACTACACTCTACCACCTCTCGAAGATTGGAGGTTCCCCGTCGATAATGATTTCGCTGAAGATGTCGCGGCGCTGTTGGGTCAGAAGTCACTAGCCCCGACCCTTTCGACCCCCGACAAGCTATGTGAACCTTGTAGCCGGCTCAAAATCTGGGAGGCTGGCTTTTCTGTCGCTTACAAACGCGATAAGCTGCAGCAAAGTTCCACGTTGTGTGGTTTATGTAACCTTCTGTGGCATGCTTGGTCCAAAGCTTCAGAGGAAGTCAAATCGAGCTCTAATATTCACTTGGAGAGAGTCGGGTCAACTATCCATATCAGGGGGGCGGTATCTCAAGTGGCTCTTTCGCTATTTAGAAGTTCCGGTTAGTGTGTTCACGTATTTGATGTGGATTTCTCTAATGTTCCATGGAATGTCTAGGTGCCTTGAGATTGACCTCTGGGTTTCAGATTGGATTTCCTGAACTCCCGAAACCGGACTCGGACTTGTCTAGTCAAATAGCTCGACAATGGCTCAAAGATTGCGACACCCATCACTCAGGATGCAACTTTGTTGGCATTTCAAGACTCCCCACCCGCCTTTTGCACCTGGGCTCAGAGGAGAAGCCGATTCTGCGTTTGCTGGAAACAGCTGACGGGATATCTGGGGACGCCAGATACATTGCCTTGTCGCACCGCTGGGGTGACATTCAGAAACATCGCCCATTACGTACGGAATTGAGTAATCTGGAGGCTTTCAAGCAGGCCATTCCGCAAGCAGATGTTCCGCAAACATTTGCCGATGCGATAACTGTCACCCGTCGCCTTGGAATCCAATACCTTTGGATCGACTCGTTATGCATCGTCCAAGGAGATGGCGGCGACTTCAGCACAGAAGCCAAACGCATGGAAGATGTCTTCAGTTGCGCTTATTGCGTCATCGCAGCGAGTCGCGCCTCGAACCAGCGTGAGGGATTTCTTCACAAACCGCGGCCACAGCGACGTTTCATTACCATTCACCAAGAAAGAGAGCCCCCTTTCTACGTATGCGAAACCATTGACGACTTCGGACGTCATGTACTCGACGGGGCTTTGAATAGCCGAGGTTGGGTATTGCAGGAGCGTGCCTTGGCACAACGAACCATATTCTTCACAGACTCCCAGACGTACTTTGAGTGTGGACAGGGAGTTAGGTGCGAGACTCTTGCAAAGATGCAAAAGTAAGTATAGAAGTTCTCCGTATTCACACCATGAAAACAAATCTGCTGGCTAACAAGACGGCTCTGCAGTGACATGGCAGACTTTCTGGGCGATCCCAGATTCCCTGATAAGGCAATGAAAGAAAAGTCACGGGCAGTCAGAATCCGCTATTTCCAAGATCTGTACCGCCGCTATTCACAGCTCGAATTTAGTCATATTCAAGATCGACCGATTGCTATTGCCGGATTGGAAAATCGTCTTCTAAGAGCGTACACCATTGAGGGTGGTTATGGGATCTTTGATGATGGCCCAGGGAAGGGTCTCTTTCATCGAAGCCTTCTTTGGCAGAGAAATGAGGAAGAAGGCGCCTTGAAGGCGATTGACTTTTCGTTGAGGCCCGATTCGGCTGCTCCCACCTGGTCGTGGATGGCTTATGAGGGTGGCATTGACTATCTAGACCCACCTTTTCAGGAGACAGAATGGGAACGAACAGATGTTGAGCCGCCGTGGTCAGTCGCAGGCGGTGGTAGCGATGGTTCTCACCGAACGACACATCTAAAAGTCATAGTGCGACCATTCAGCGTGGCCGGGGCTCCAGAGCGTAAGCTAGGGAAGATCAAATTTACCTACGACAATCTCCCCCGGAAAGCAACATCTGACGGGCAGAGCCCATTATGTGTTGTTATCGCGAAGGAGAAAGGAAATAGGTCATCGCAAGAAAAGACACATTATGTCTTAGTCGTCGCTGGGACTGGGGGTGGCATTGAACAGGGTCGGAGGTGCTTTAGTCGTCTAGGGGTAGGCTTCCTGCCAGGCAAGTACATCGGTCTTCAGGAAGATGGCGTCAGGGGCATTATTCGTTGATTGTCATTCATTTGTACGTACCAGCCGTTCACCCACAAACTCACTCGTTCTTTTCTTTTTATTCATTTAAGTTGAGCTTTCAATCGTCTGAAGCAAGCCGAATCATGAGTAGCTTCTTGAGGTCATTCTGAATCAACGGCAGTGATTGCAAACTTCGTCAGGTTGGGAAGAGCTTTACAGCTCAAGTACGGTACATCGACAACAAGGCAAAAGCCGTACTCGTACTTTTTGACCAAGAATGTTCTCCAATGAAAAGTCCTGTTCGTGGATTATACAGTTTGAATTTGCAGGAATGTTCCAATAATACAATTCTATGAATCTCTTTGGTCGTGGTCGACTCTTCGCAAATAGCACTTACATTTCGTTGTACATAGGTAGCTTGCAGTATCGGGGTGGGCTTGCGAATCCAAATGCTCGAGATTTCTTGTTTGAGACGGTATTCAGGTGGCAATTGCTTATGGGAATGGGTTCATGAGTCCCGTATTATCGACTCCCAAGTCAGCTATGGCGAGGTTGGTCGACTATCACAACCGCTTTCATGAGATGATTTTCGCGACCCCATCCACAACGGGCTGATCAGTATCATCCGATACCTCTGGCCAGCTTTTGACATGCAGCAGTCAATAATCTCAACCACTAGGCTCGACTTTCTCATACCGATGGCAAGTTCGCCACCGATGGCATGGTGGTTGGTCAAGCCGAGGGCGTCTAAAGCCCGAAATGAGGCTGATCTACATCCCGGCGGCACATATGGGAGCAGATTAGTGGTCTAGACTGCCGATGAACGTTGCATACGACCGCGAAGCCGAGGAACGACAACTCGAAACGGACATTCCGGACCCCCGACCGATCGCGGGGAAAGTTGGAGATTCTGTTTCCGATTCGGTGGGATACGGACACGAGAGTCTCGGCAAGTTCGCACTATGACCTCAAAGATGGGACGAAATACTGCACTGCAGGGCGGCCGAGCGTTCTGGAACTTCATGACTTGCGCCGGGGGCCTCGGCAACCTTGGAACGCTGTCCTTTTGCTCATGGTTTCCGTCATTGCAAGTCTCCCACCGGTTCATCAGAATCAACCTATTTTCAACAAACAAGGTCGTGGTGTTTGTGAAGAGGGTGGTGTAGGGCAGTTTGGGCCGCGGCGATGGAATCTTATGATGCCGATGCAAAGTACATCGCTGTGATGCTGCGATCATTGATCTATACCATCTAATGGTTGTCACGATATGTTCAGCTGAGGGGAAAATATGAGACTGCGTATGTGGAGCGCATAATATGGCTTCCAAGCTACATGTAATCTGAGCTGTAGAACTACGCTAAAATGTATTCGAATTCATTTACATGCGCTGGCTTTCTTAACTAGACGCGTCCGAGCAGTGTTTTCCAGTCTCTCAGCAAGAGCCCTTACCCAAGAACTCAGACTTAAAGTGGGAGCCGTCCTTCGGTGTGACATGCCTCCCGAAGTCGTACTCGAAGCTCACCTTATACCAAATGTAGTTGAGCTTGCGTCCTGGACTGTGGCTTACGCAGTGTCAACCACATCCCATGAGTTCAGACGAAGGCTTGCCTCGGTACAACATCAGTGCATAGCGATCCACGCCCATTTTGGTCAAAATTACGAGAACCCCGGCTGTCATCGAGGGAACGTTCATGATGTCACATGGGAATAAATGAAGGAAATGCCCCGGGACATTAGCTTTCGACTCGGGAACTCATCTGAACAACGCCAGCTATTTCCCTATTCTGTCCTAGGGCGGTGCGCTTCGTATAGCGCATGCTGCCACCCGATTCGACTGCCGACAGGCAGAATACTGGGGGTCTGCCGGGGAAAGCGGACTCTATCGTGATCGAACGGCCTTGATATTATCGGACGGGGCTTTGGTCCAGACACGGCCGCATGTCATCGCTATATGTCCGTCGGGCAGGCGACGTCAGGCTCCCGCCGGCCTGGTGTGGATGGTTCGGGAAGCGGCAGCGAAGTATTACCACCATCTTGGGTCCGTCATGCCTGTCTTTTACAACGTTACTGGCTGGACAGATCGAACCATGACCACGCCGCGGCTCATCCATCGACCGTTGGAACCGATAGGAATTTAACCTTAGAGAAAACAGGCGCCGTTGACAAGGGTCGGTATATGACGTCCGCACTGACGACGTGGACGGGCACGTCTTGGATTTTTGATATAAAGCTTCAGAAACATCCATCGACGGCAGGTTTGGACTATTCAGACTTCATCAGCATCACCAACAACCGAAAAACATCTTTCGACTGGACTTCGAGACTCCCTCGACAGTGACTCTTGACTCCCAAACTTCAACAGCAATTCCAAGAACCAAGCAGCCAACAAATCTACTACAATCATGAAGACCACTAGAGCTATTGCCGTGGGCTTGACCCTTGTCTCCACGAACGTCCTCGGACTGCCCGTATCTGACCCAGCAGCCGAAGCGACTGTTCGTGATATCGTCGAGAACAACCAATCAGCCAACGTCGTCGCAGCAGACAAGCAGGTCCAAGGCATGAACGCATTCCTCGGCGACGAGGTCAACTCGATGAGAAACACCAACCCCGCACCTAAGGACACGATCTACCCCAAGAGATCCGAGAAAGATGCACCGTACTCGATGTCCGAGGAAGAGCTTCGAAGCAAGATCTACTTTCCCAAGACCTTCTCCATGACCTCGGGAAAGCAACCCATTATTCTCGTCCCCGGCACCGCGGCGATGGCTGGGTCGACGTTCCGCGCTAACTTGGGTCCTCTTCTGGCCAAGTCTGACTTTGCGGACCCCCTCTGGGTCAACATCCCCGAAGCGTCCCTAGGTGATGCCCAGGAGAATTCCGAATATGTCGCCTACGCCATGAACTACGTCCAGAGTATGACGGGCAAGAAGGCCGCCGTTGCTGCTTGGAGTCAAGGAAACTTGAATGTGCAGTGGGCCATGAAGTACTGGCCTAGCACGCGGGAGACGGTGACCGACTTTGTCTCGTTCTCTCCTGATTTCCATGGCACCACCGAGGCATTCTTGGCTTGCGACACTGCTGCGGCACTTATCGGATGCACACCTTCTGTGTATCAACAGAAGTACGACTCCAAGTTCGTCGCAACTCTTCGCGCTGGCGGCGGAGACAGTGCTTATGGTAAGTCTCATCTTTCACTTCAACATTATCGTACCATGTATTAACACTTCTTCGACAGTCCCCACCACATCCATCTTCAGCGCCACCGATGAAGTCGTCCAGCCTCAAGCCGGCCCAAAGGCTTCAGCTTTCCTCAAGGATGGCAACGGCGCGCAAGCGACCAACATTGAGGTCCAGAAGGCATGTCCCGGAACCCCGGCTGGCGGTGAGGTCACCCACGAAGGCATGCTGTACAACTCCTTGGCTTTCGCCCTCTTGGAGGACGCCATGAAGAATGAGGGTCCGGCCAAGCTCGACAGAATCGACAAAAAGGTCTGCCTCGACCCCGCCGCGGGAAAGATGGATAAGGCAGAGATCACTGCTACTGAGGGCGTCCTTGGCCAGGCTGGTGCGAACGTCTTGAAGTACCCCTACAAGGTCAAGTTCGAGCCCAAGATCAAGGCCTACGCTAAGTAAATGCCCGGCTGGTTTCCGGGTCGAAGGCGGACCAAAGTGTACGATATGTGTACAATGCGTGTAAGAATACGGCGAACATGCATAGCACTGGGGTTTATAGCGAACGAGCGAGTCTCTTTCATCATTCTTGTACAATAGTCAGCGTTGCATAGCGTCATAAAATCTATAAATTTGCTTTCACAATTGTCTTTCGAGTGAAATCAATATTTTCCAGTGGTAATTTGATTGAGAAATCATACGAAAGATTGAAGTGTCCAAAGTATCCGACCTGCAACAACACAAAGCGACTCCATTGACTGGCAAGCATACCTCGTTCATGTGCAACACACAATATGGCCATGAATTCCGACAGCTTGAGCCGGAACACTACATAACTCCGAGCCAGATCTCCCACCATCACCAAGCTCTTTCTCCGCCGTTTTTGATAATCACCCCCAGAAGCCCCTTCGGAAGCCGTTCGGAGCGGTGATTAGATTAAGACTTCTCCGCGGGAAATCCGCCTTGGCATTGCAACAGAAGATGGCCCAAGAGCAAGAAGCATATGGTTGATCAACCTCGAGGCTCGCCATTGTCGCTTTCGAAGGATTGCTTCTTCTTTGCAATTCCAGGATGGCCGGCGTTTTCGGTCCACGAAAGGGCGTTGAAACATTTCCAATGCCACGTGTGACAGATTGGCCCCCACTGGCATCGAGCCGCTCCATCAGGGGCGTCAAGAGCCCACACAATACCCACTGAATCTTACCTTGGAGAGGGCCTATGTGGGCTTTGCGTGGATAGGGAACGGTTGGACGGTGCTACGCTACGCAGGTTGCAATTGTGGACAGTTTAGTGGGCAAAGCTTGTCAACTTGCGGACGAACGAAAGTCCAGCGCATACAGAGATCACACAAGTAGGTGATTGAGGATGGCTTCACCAGCACACTGTGGCTTCCTCGATGTGATTGGGTGCCTATGCCGGTGGGATGTGACTGAGTTTCAAGAAGACATAAATATCACCTGTTTCCATGAGACTGCTCGAAAGCACTGGACTTTTCAACTCGTCAGGATGGATTGGTCTGATAATTCTTGTTTCAGTAGATGGCAACATTAAATTTCCTGCCAAGTGCACTGGTGAGGCTCAAGCGACACCGGAACACTAACCACAGCTCCGGTGATATGATCCATCAAGAGTTAAGATCAGCACGTCTAAATGCCTCTCTCCGAGATGTCATCACGATGAGCCCATCACCAAGGACGGCTCGGACACTGACCACAGTCTAGCTCATCGGGCGTTTTGGCGATCGACAGCCACCCAAGTGAGACGTGACTATGGCACCTCGATTGTCGCAGTTTTTCGGGGGGGCATCAGGATAAATATGGGTAAAATATCTCTAGACTGTAACACGAGACAAGCCTCACCTAAGGTGTTTACCCTATTTTTCCGCCACTCGTCCGTCTGAACCCCACATATCCGGTCGTCCTCCGGGGGCTGCGCACTGCCCTCGGGCGAAACAGCGGACAATTCCGATGAAAGCCGCTTGCTGTGCTCTCGTTGTCGGGCCCAGCGAAACAAGTCAGATTCTCACCAAAACGCGCGGATATCGACATGGGAATATACGCAAACAAAAACACACTTTAATTCTGGGCTGAGGCGGAGGCTGAACGGCCCCGTTTCCCGTTCACTCACGAGGCGCGGATTACCTGTCTATTACGCGGCTACGGAGTACTGGGGAGAATATTCCCACAAAATTCCCAAGCGGAAGTGAAGAAATTTCCGGCTACCGATCAAGCTTAGACGTCGAATAAGCTTGAGTGTCCCAAGGTGGGCGCTAAAGCTGTGCTCCCCCATGTTGTCCGGCCTAAGCCGCTGCTTGAATGCCAAGGGTAGCGGGGGTAACCCGAGGCATCACATCATGACCCCATGCTCATTGCGGATAGGGGCCGCGTCTTTCTATGAGCCATAATTAGATAGACTCATACAGTTCAGCACCGAAGGCTTGGGTGCTAATGCAGACTTCCCCAAATCGGACGGGAAGGGGAGGTCGAGGTTGATGTGAGCATCATGTACATCCGTCTCGTCAGCGGATTTGCGCCAATTTCGCCAAGCATCTAAGTTTTTTGGTGTTGTAGTCCATCGCCTGAGGAAATGGCAAAAACCCGCCCCAATGTCCCATTCATCCCACCAGCTAAACCATTATTCCTGACGTTGGGACAGAGACGCTACCCTGGGCACTGACTTCTCCTTTTTGGTACTAACGCAGATGTCACGTCGGAGCTTATGTTGGGAATGGAAAGTGGGAGCGAGGCGGCGGACATGGGGTCGGTTATTGTTGCCCCTGAAGGACACGCGTACTCGCCCACCGACGACCGATCCTATGTTTAATTTTCATGACAGCACGAATTCACGTGGGCTGGTCAGCCGTCCTGCTGGGCGAGCGGTCACCCCGTCTGCCGCCATGGCAGAAAACGTGTGGTTGGGATGGCGAAATGCGGGCCTGGTTATGGCATTGCTCGGACTGCCAAGAATCGCAGACCAGCACTCTGAGGTTCTGGAACGCGCGTCATCGTGAGTTGAGCAAGCCCAGAGGACTTTCAACCGGTCATTGGGTTCAGTGGTAAGGTACCTAGTGTATGGATAGGGTGCGGAAGAAATGGTACCTCCTGGGCAATCTCCCGTGGCACAGAGGGCGGCGTCAAGTGTGACAGGGGCCGTGTCCGGGCTTGCTCCATGCTGTCACTTGTCTGGGACTCGGAGGAGATCAATGGGGAAAGGAGCCGTGTGGGGGCAAGAATTCTCTCCATTGCTTGCACTGAGCGAGAGCATCTTCGATCAACCGTTGGAAGACAAAAGAGACAAGAGGCGCCGTTGACGGCTAGGGGGGACAGCGCACAGCGTCAGAGCTCCTTGCAGCAAACCTGCCAGAGGTCGAGGAATTTAGGCCAGGAACAAGAAACCAAATGCAACGGTACCCTGCCCTACGATGGAGCAGCAGAGTCTTGGTGAGTGTCAAAGTTGCCAAAACCCGCCAGGGGACAGATGCCAAGCTCTCAAACTCCCCCACCTTCCCGTAGATTCAGAAAAAGAACAATTGTGGCACCGGCAGATCAGGGTACGTACTTTGTGCATGTACTGAACCATATGTGACGGCATAACGCGATATGATTGGCCAGACTGTAGAGACTGTACCCACTACGACGTTACCGGTCGTTAGAACTGAGGCTATTTTCCTCACAACCCCCTGTCTACATCTCTTTTTCACACTTCACTTCACCTCAACTTTTGTGCTACGCTACACGATGGGCGTCAGTTGTCGCAACGGACAACTTCCCCGGGCCAGCCAAAAAAATTCAGTAAGTTGCCCAAGTGGGCGATTGCTGGATATGCCGAATGCTATGATCCCAAAACACAGACTGCTGGGACAAGATTTACTCAATCACATCCTGCCCAGCTTCCCCTGAGCGCCTCCCGCCGAGAGATTAACCCGATTCTACCAGACTTGCATGTCGCATGAAAGATCACGGGTGATCCCAAGACCTGCTGCATGTCGTCCATCTTGGCACATCGACTCACCAGATCCCAAGCAAACCCAATCAGTCCCAGCGGAGAGGACGCAGCAGCCAAGGCCCTCAACTTGGGATGGCGTCAAGTCAACCTAAGACGACATCTTAGCGTGTTTTGGCCTCATGGGGTTCAGCCGCTAGTGCAACTCGCCCGTCAACAAGGCCCCTGGCTCCCTTTCTTTTCTTTTCCTCCCATTGGCCCACGAGTTCCTGACGGCTGTGAATCAGAGTTCAAACGACCGCGGAGACCTCCCGTCTAGTGACCCCGGTCTGCGGTTTATTCTTTTTTGTTTGTCCATGGGATGGATGGCCCATTGATGGGACCGATGGAGACGGGGGAGAGAGAAGGACGGGCAGACATGCAGGGGCCAAGACACGGTAGCGCTGGCTGATGCTGCTCCTCCTTCTCGTCCTCCGCCTCCCTGCTGTCATAGGTCCCGTTCTTGGGTCCCTCGGGGAGGAGAAAATGGGCAAGGCGGCTCCACCGACGACATCGATGTCCGTCGGTGCTGAACGACCCTTTTAGGATGCCATCGAACCCGCTGGCATGAAGGCTTCATTTCGTTCCGTCTTCCTCAACTGACTCTTTCTCTTATTCTCTGTGTGGAGCTTTTCGGCTAGAGGCCATTCCCAATTTTTTGCCCTGGCGGTGCTAATATTCTCCTGCCCTGGCGGCCTTCTTGACCAATATTGTTAATAAGTACTATATTCTCACGAGTTCTAGCTTTCCGACCATCAAAGCGACACAACAACACAGACACACATTCGAAAATGGCTTTTTCAGAGAGATCATGCCCGGTATCGGGTTCCATGGGAGCCAGAGGGAGGTGTCCAGCTGGTACTGCCGCGGCCGGCAGGCAAAGCAGATCGAGCAGTCGTATGGGACCTCGAGGATGTTCCTTCTCTGGCTTTTCCCAGCCGGGCGATATTCACACAGCATTCGATGTAAGTCAACGTCGAGACAGGACTTGATATGCTTGGAAATACTGACAATATCAAAGATTCCCCGAGGAGTCGATGCTGAAGAGTGGCTCCGCATGAGGTTAGTCCAGATCAAACTCTATCGACCCTTAACATGCATACTAACACAGGCATCAGGGAGCGCAAGTCCATCAACCAGATCCTCTATTCCAGCTACCCCTCACAACAAGAGATCGATTCAGCCAAGGACCAAAAACAGATGGACGCAATGAACGTGAACGAACAAGATCTTCTCGCTGTCGCCCTCGGCGCACCGGCGAGGCAAGTGATGCTGAGAGCGGAGGAGATTGGCCCCGCGACAGGCTGGAAAGACGGCTACCTCAGCATAGAACACGGCTTCTGCCCACCCGACTACGACGAGGCCGCCGGCGCCCTGGCCAGATCCCCTGGTCGTATCTGGTCCGATCTTGCCGAGAGAATGCCTGGATGCGTGTCCCGCGGTCGCGTGAGAGAATCGATCGCCGCAGCCCCCGTCATCGAGGGTACCGAAGACATCATCCCCGACCAGGCGCTCTGGGCTGCGCTGGTGGCGCTGGGTATGCTTTGCTCCATCTACCGCTTCGAGCAAAAGTACGACGGCCACGACGGCGTTAATGCGACTACGAACCCGTCCAAGTTGAGATTGAACTGCAAGATGGGTGACTACTTGGGAGAGGAGTTGGTCGGCATTCCTCTCAGCATCGCGCTGCCTTATTTCCAAGTATCCCGCCGCATGGGACGAACACTTCCTCATCTCACCTTTGTCGATCAATCTTCATACAACCTCAAGGTCAAGGACGCCACATCAAGCTTTCCCTACGTCGCCCGCTTCGACAACATTGAGCTGAGATGGCCAATGTTTGGTGAGCGTGCTGAGGTGGCATTCCTCAAGGGAGTTGCGGATACATCTGGTAGGACTACGCCTCTCTTACCTCAGACTTCATGCTCTCGACCCGGCTTTGCTAATCATTACTTGCAGCCTCTTTTCAACATGGCCCCGACGCCATCGCTGCTTGCCAAGAGCACGTAATGAACCGCAACAATGAGGGTCTTCTCCACGAGATGATCCGCTTGAAAGAAATTCTGGAGCGCATGCCCGGCGCCTTCCACTCGATCTCAACCAACCCCAATGCCGGTGAGAACTATGTCCCCGTCCAGCAATGGGTTCGCTGGGCGAAGTTCTCTGCCCCTCTCTCGAAGCGCTGCCCCGCCTCTTCGGGCCTCCAGTTCCCGCCCTACCTAGTTATGGACGCTTTCTTGGGCAGGAAAAAGTAAGTCGACATCTGTGTCTTATCTCGCCACTTTACTGACATGTATCCCAAGGTACACATCCTTCCTCGGTGCTGAGGGTGTCCATCTCCGCGCATGGCTCCCCTCCAACCTGCGCGCTTTCATCGCGGCTATCGAGTACCACTACCGCATCCCTGAGTACGTCCAGCAGTCCGGCGACCCTCGTTTGATGGGTGTTCTCGATGGCATCGTTGAGGCCTACACCGGTGAGCGCGGCTTTATGGGTGTCCACCGCTACAAGGTCTTTGGCATCCTCGAGGTCGCTGCTAAGACGGGCCGTACCGAGACCAACGGCGCCTCTGGTGCCGCCGATGGTGAGCGCCCATGGGAAGAGACTCACCGTCAGTTCTCCGAGGCCATGAAGGAGCGTCTTGAGCCCTACCGAGGTGCTCTGCCCGTTGAGCCCCACCAGATGCGAGGCACTTTCGAAGAGTGCCGCTACGTTACCCGTGTGTTGAGCAGGTCGTTTGTCGACTCTGACCCCTCCCGCTCGATCGCGATGGTGACGCTTGATATCCGGGATACCGGTATCACTTGGGCTCCTGGTGACCGTTTGGCGGTGATGCCTTTGAACGGCTGGGAAGAGTGTGCCAAGGTCATTGCTGCTCTTGGCCTGGAGGAACACATCGATGCTCCCGTTGAGACTACAGGAACCTGGGCCCGCTTCGAGATGCACCTCGGTTCCGTGAGGAGGACTGCTACTCCCAAGCTGACGGTCGGCGACATCCTCCGCCGCGGCCACCTCGCTCCCATCACCAAGGAGATGGCTCTCAAAATTCACGGGATGCTCCACGCATCCTCCAACACCGTCTTGCAGGTCCTGAGCACCGATGAGTGGCCTGTGAGGGGTTCTCTGGGCGACTTGCTCCAGGATGCCGTCACGGATACTCCTCCCCAGATTTGGGACAGAGTCTTCAACCTCGAAGATCTGTCTTGGTTGGCCGACTTGGTCAAGCTCGAGGTTCCTCGCACATACTCGATTGCTAGCTACACGGAAGAGCTGCTGCCTGAGACGGTCGACCTTGCTGTCTCCCGCTCCGAGTACAAGCTGTGCTCGACCTTCGCAAAGGGTAGAGATATCTCTCGCTCTGGAGTTTCCAGCGGCTTCCTCAACCCACCTGTGGAGATGGGTGAGATCGACTCCGATGACGAACTACTCATCGGCGTCTCGCGCCCAGCCGCCTTCCAGCTTCCCCTCGACCCCATGGCTCCCTGCGCCTTTTTCGCTGGTGGCAGTGGTATCGCTCCCTTCCGCAGCTTCTGGCAAGCTCGTCTTGCTCAGAGCGGTCTCTCCGGTGGCAAGAACTCTTTGTACCTCGGTGTCCAGTCCCGCGAGAAGTTCTGCTTCGAAGAAGAACTCCGCCAGTACGTCAACGCGGACTTCATGGAAGTCCATCTCGCATTTTCAAGAGACTCGCGAGGTCTGGCCTACGAGGGTCACGATCTCGTCGAGAAGCACATTCCCCCTCGCTATATCGATACCTTGATCGTCGAACAGGGTGCTCAGATCTGCGACCTCGTGATGTCAAAGAAGCAGGGTGGTCTTGGTGGCTATCTCTATGTCTGCGGTTCGGTCTCTGTGTTCGACTCCGTCATGCAGGGAATCCGCAAGGCGATTTACACCTACAGAACAGCCACCGAAAGCGGCGTCGATACTATTGTCAACAAGGCGTTTGCTGAGAGACGCTTTATGCTTGATGTCTTCATGACCCCCAAGCCCCTGCCATGCACGCTGCCGACCATTCCTCTATCACAATTGGCCCTGCATACTGGTCACCGCCCTGGATCGCGCATGTGGATTGGTGTTCACGGAAGCGTCTACGATGTCACCGACTTCTGTCCTATGCACCCGGGCGGAACCCTCATCATCAAGTCTAACGCTGGTGTCGACTGTTCAAAGTCCTTCGACAACCTCGCCCACACAAACAACCCCGAGGTGGCTTCTCTCCTGACGAAGTACTTCGTCGGTCACTTGACACCTAAGCCCGACTACGGCAGCGACGAAATCTCCGCCCTCCATGACCTTTGGTCCGCCTACCTCCGCACCACGGTTGAGACCCTCGTCGCTCACCAGTTTGAGATGTACGAGATCATGGGCGCCTCCCTCGAGACCAACTCCTCCCACGACCCCGCCGGCAGCAACAACATCTGGCTGCGCGAGTCCCTCCCCAACATCATCGCCGTCCGCACCTTCTACGGCTACCAGTCCCGTCTCCTGCAAGGCGGCTTCGCAGCCCTCTTCGGCCCGAAGCTGCAGGAGCTCGTCCTCAAACTCTCCTTCGGCGTCGCCAGCGCCAACGGCCCCGCTGCCGACACCAAGCTCCCCGACGTCCTCGGCACCGTCGCGCGCGCAAAGACCTCGGGCGACGCCGCCACCTGCACCAAGGAGGTCGCCCTCGTCGGCCAGTTCGTCTGCGATGCCGACGCCTCCCTCCGCTTCCAGGAGCGCGGCGTCTTCGCCTACGCCGCCCGCAGCGTCGAGCTCGACATCGCCCTGCTCGAGGACCTCCGCCAGGAGGCCTGCAACGGCATGGACGCCTTCGACAGCATCGCAAACTCCATCAAGGAGTCTTCCGACCCGGACGTCGAGAATGCCCGCCTCACCGCGCTCTCCACCTTCCTCCTCCAGGTCCTCGAGCGCATGGCCCGCCACCTCGAGGTCTTCTACGCCCAGCTGGCCCGCTCCTCCGTCTACCAGCCCCAGCTCGAGAAGAACCCGGCCCGCACCCGTTGGGCCCTCGTCCGCAGACGCATCCGGGATGGTAGTCTTTTCGTCCTGGCAACCAAGGCCGAGCTCTCCTCCAACCTGCTGGACCCCGCGGCCGGCCAGAACCAGCAGCCATACTACATGTCGCGCGCGAACCCGAACCAGAACATTGACTTTGACCGCGTCATGGCGCAGGTGCAGGCCTCGCTGCGACAGGACGTCTCGGCTATGAACCCCTCGCACCTGCAGCCTCACCAGCAGCACCCGCAGCAACCTCTGACGCTCAACGCCGTGCACCAGGCCCGAGGGCGCGTCGACACGGGCGACGTCAGCGTCGTCGCGAGCCGCGAGAACGCAGACGCCCTGCGCGCCATGAGCAGCTTCGTCGAGAAGAACAGCCGTGCCATCCGCCGTCTGAGCAAGATGCCCGCCGCAATGCCCACTGGCATGAACTTCGAAGACATCCAGCGCGCCGCACTGCTCGAGATGGCACAGAGCGGCGCCGGCGGGCAGAGCGGTCTGCTGTCACCCCCAGAAATGGCAGGTGACATGCATAACCATCACCACCAAGAGCAAGGGCTGCACGTCAGGAAGGGGGGGAATGGTAACAGGATCCTCCCGACGCCGCCCTCATCCCGCGGCTCCAGCCGGTCCCCCACGCGGTTCAACCAGCCCTTCGCCGTGGGAGGCAAGCCCACAGCCGAGATGCTCCTCGCCAAACTCAACCGTCCCCGCGGCGCCTCTCTCACCAGGACGCCAAACGCATCGCAGCCAGGCTCCCCAGCACCCTTCCCCGTCCTCCGCGGTTCACACTCGCCGCCGCCCTCGCACCACGGCAGCCAGCACCCCGTCGACGCGCAAACCGCGCTGAGCTCGATGATGAGCCGCCTCAACACGCGGCCGCGCAGCGGCTCCGCCGCCATGATGTCGAGCACCGGCGGCATGCACTCCCCCGCGCACCCAGCAGCGGGCGGCGGCCTCGCGCGCACGCGGTCGCTCATGAGTCTAGGCAGCAGCGGCAGTCAAGCTCGCGAGCGGGGACATGTGTCGCGGCCGTCTGGGGGTTCGCTCCGCGCGCTGAAGCTGCGGAGCGTGATGGAGCAGAGCGAAGAAAAGGTTGCTCCCACGTTTTAGAATTGAGTGGAGTTGACAGGTGTGTGTGTGTTTCGGTCCCGGAGTCCCGTATTGGGGATTCGGTGACCGACGATGAGACGAAAAAAAACAGACCTCCGTGAGCCGCATCCCGAGCGCGAAAAGCGGTGCAGTGACGGTCTTGGCGAGTTGTCGTTGTTGTTCTAGGGAATGTCCGTGTCCGTGCGGTCATCTTTCAGGATCCCTTTCCTCCGATGTGATGGATGATCCGAGATTCTTTCGTTGTCCATGATTATTTCAATTTGTGTCTATTGCTGCCTGGGAATGCACGGTTGGCTTTGCGGAAAACAAGCCAGAAGAAAAGAAAAGTACGAAAAGTACCAGTCTTTTTTAGTCAGAGGGCTAAAATGTGTTTAGAGTAGAGTTAAGGAATTGTACAACAATATTGGTCAGATTGTATGAGTCCGGACTTTGACATGTGATGAGAATAACTGTGCGCAGCGAGAGAGGCGTCTGAAGCAACATCGTAAGATGATCATCAAGGGCTAATTGAGGGATCACAATGCGAGGCACGCAGCAGTTCATATTCCGATTTGATCATGATTCAATAAAAAATGCCTAGCTGAGCCTAGAATCTAAATGGAGACGCGATAACATATGATATTGGCCCTGATGATAATGAAAAAATGATGGTAAATTCCGTGGTAATGGGCGTCAATGTTGTTACAATCTTGCTTTCCCAACGCCTCAATCCAGACAGAATGGGATACAACAGCGTCAGCTTGAAAGGGGGGAATCTCTACCACGATGATGATGATGAAAGACTGTAGTCTTCTCTGCTTTATCTATGCCAGAATACACAAAAATAATGAAGAACAAATTCCGTTTCGGGCGGCTCCTCCCCTGTGGGCTGTATCCGTTTACTTATCCAACGCCTGTGATTGACACTGTTCTCAAGTTAGCATTGAATCTCAAATCCAGGAAAGAAGGATGATAACTCACCATTTGGAAATAGACTCCCCTCTCCGCAATCAGCGTCGCATGGTCACCCCTCTCGACAACCTTGCCATCGGCCATGACGAAGATCACGTCCGCGTTCTGCACGGTCGCCAGCCGATGCGCGACCATGATCATCGTCCTGCTGCCCTTCGTCGCGTCGAAGACGGCCTGCACCGCGCGCTCCGTCTCGCTGTCGAGCGAGCTCGTCGCCTCGTCAAGGAGTAGCAGCGACGGCCGGCGGATCAGCGCGCGCGCGATCGAGACGCGCTGCTTCTGCCCGCCAGACAACGCGACGCCCGACTGGCCCACGGCGGTGTTGTAGCCCTCCGGCAGTGACATCACGAACTCGTGGATGCCCGCGTCCTTGGCCGCCGCGTGCAGCGCCTCGTCGGAGACAGAGTCCTCGTCCTCGATGCCGAGCAGGATGTTGTCCCGGATCGTGCCCGTGAAGAGCGACGGCTCCTGCGCGACGAGGGAGATGTTCTGGCGGTACTTTGCGAGGTCGAGGCTGTTGATGTCGTGGCCGTTGTAGAGCACGCGGCCCTCGCCGTGGAGGGTGTAGAAGCGCTCGAGGAGGGAGATGATGGTGGTCTTGCCGGAGCCCGAGGGCCCGACGATGGCGGCGAACTGGCCGCGCTCGATGTGCAGGTCGAGGCCCTTGAGGACGGGCGTCGGGCGCGTGGGGTAGCTGAACCAGACGTCCTTGAAGTCGATCTCGACGCCCTTCTCGTAGTGCACCTCGTAGGGCACGACGTCGCTGACGCGCTCGGCGGTGGTTGCCGCGGAGGTGGTCTCGTCGTCGTCCGCGTCGCGCATGGCGAGGATGCGGTCGGCGGCGGTCTTGGCCTTGGCGATGTTGGGCCCGAAGGAGAGCCACTGGCCGGCGGACATGCCGCCCTGGACGACGGCGATGTAGACGACCATGTACTGGAAGGGAGTGTACTCGTGGTCGGAGAGGAGGCGGCCGCCGTACCAGAGGACGAAGGCCATGCAGAGCAGCGAGATTGAGTCGCTGAACGCAAACAGCATGACGGAGAAGCGGGACTTGCGGAAGGCGTCGCGGGTGTGCTCGGCGAGGAGCTCGTCGTAGCGCTGGCAGATGCCCTGCTCCATGGTGAGCGAGGAGACGGTGCGGATGGCGCCGATGGACTCGGAGGCGAACTTCGCGGACTCGGCGAAGACGGCGTTGTTGGCCTCCTCGAACTTTGTCTCGTGGCGCACGCGGTAGAACATGGCGGCGACGATGATGGGCATGGAGGTGCCGAGGGCGACGAGGGTGAGCTTCCAGCCGAAGACGAGGCCGACCACAATGCAGCCGATGACGTTGAAGAGCGAGATGAGCACGAAGGCCATGTTGGTGCCGAGAAGCTGCTGCAGCATGGTCGGGTCGGTGGCGAGGCGGGCCGTGAGGGCGCCGGCGGAGTTGCCCTCGGCGTCGAAGAAGGCGGACGGCTTGTAGAGGATGTTGCGGAAGTACTCCTTGCGGTAGACGCGGGTGATGCCGAAGCCGATGGTGGTGGTCGCCCAGCCGAGGAGGAAGTGGGAGACGCCGACGCCGGCGGCGAGGTAGACGAACATGAGGCACCAGTGGTTGGCGATGACGCGCAGGAAGCTGCCCCAGTAGGAGAAGAGCGAGACGAGGACGGCGAAGAGGTAGGCCTGGACGGGGGTGCTGGCGCCGGCGCCGAGGGCCGCGACGGCGATGACGATGTACGTCTTCCAGCGCTTGCGCTGCTCGCCGAGGAGGAGACCGAAGGAGCCGAAGAGGTGCCAGGCGCGCCAGCGGGCCCAGAGGCCGCGGGGCTCCTTGATGACGCGGACGTTGCCGCCGGCGCCGCGCTCGAGCTCCTCGTCGGAGCCGTCGCGCTCGGTGACGGGGTTGCTGTCCTCGTCGACGTTGTCGATGCTCTGGCGTTTCTCGGTGAGGTCGCCCTCGCTGCTGCCGAAGGGCATGGACTTGGGAAGGGAGTTACGTTCGGGCTCGGGGCGGCGCCAGCTGAGGTCGCCGAAGAGGATGTCGTCGTCCTCCTCGACGCCCATGTCCAGCTTCTGCGCGGTGGCGAGGAGGTGGTAGGGGCCGTCGATCTGGGCCATGAGTTCCTGGTGAGTTCCCTGCTGGACGACCTGGCCCTTGCGGAGGAGGATGATGCTGTCGGCCTTTCTGATGGTTCCGAGACGGTGAGCGATGACGATGGTGGTGCGGCCGCGGCAGGCGCGGTCGAGCGCAGCTTGAACGATCTGCTCGCTCCTCACATCAATGGCGGAGGTGGCCTCGTCGAGGATGAGAATCTTGGGCTGCTTGACGATGGCGCGGGCGATGGCGAGACGTTGGCGCTGGCCACCTGACAGCTTGATACCGGCGTCGCCGACCTCGGTCTGGTAGCCCTCGGGCAGGCGGGAGATGAACTCGTCGGCGAAGGCGTCCTTGCAGGCCTGCTCGATGAGCTTGGCCTTGACGGACTCGTCCTCGAACTCGAACTCGGTGCCGATGAGGCCGTACTCGACATTCTTGAAAATGGTGGTGTTAAAGAGGGCGTTGTCCTGCTGGACGAGACCAATCTGGTTGCGCCACCACTGGGGGTCGATTTCGCTGAGGAGGCGACCGCCGCAGCTGATGATACCGTTTCTGAGCCAGAGAGTCTGTGACGTGTTAGCCGATGTAGATGATGACGGGTGTCTGGGACGAGTCTTACAAGTTGGTTGGCCTGGAGGTCTCCGTTAAACTCATACCATCGCTCTAGGATTCCGACAATGGTACTCTTTCCGGAACCGGACGGTCCGACGATGGCGGTGACCTTGCCGGCAGGGAACGTCAGGCTGAGGTTCTCCAGGATCTTGACGTCGGGACGCTTAGGGTATACGAAGTTGACGTTCTGGAAGACGATATCGCCCTCGGCGGACGCCTCGGGGCCCTTGAGCTTGCCGTAGGTCGGCTTCGGGGCGTCGATGATGGTGTGGAAGATGGCGTTGGCGTCAGCGGCCTGCGACGCGGCTGACAGCGGGGCTGTGAGCTGACCGATGGAGGACGCCATCATCATGATGCAGAGAAGGACGCTACGGTTGAGGGTCAGATAAGTTTCATCCTGCCGGATGGAAGGAGCAGGGGGGACTTACACGATGAGGGAGGCCGGGGTGGTCAGAACCATCATGGTGTACATCTTGAACGCGTACCAGAAGGACAGCGCAAATGTGCTAGAAACCGTTAGTAAATCCATCATCAGGTGTATACATCCTTGAATGCTTACGCATAGATGGCGAAGAAGACTGCGGCAAGTTAGCAAAACATCCGTGAAGGAACGCCGTGGGAGTAACTCACTCAGCCCCTGCTGGAACGCAACCAGCCACGCCATGCCCGCGCCCTTCTCTCTCGACCTGTCCGCGAGCATACCATACTTGGCCAGCATCTTGAACTCAGCGCCGCACGCCGCGAGCATCCTGATGGCGCCGAACGCCTCGGTAGCCACAGACGCGGCCTCAATGTCCATGTCCTGGACGTCCTTGAGCCGCTGGATGATGGGCGGGGTGGTGAACATGTAGACGAAGAGGATGAAGACGAGTCCGGAGGCGGTGGTCAGCGTCAGCAGCCAGTTATACGCGAAGGCGATGGTGAAGCCCGCGATGACCGTCGAGAAGGACATGAAGAAGGTGCCGATCTTCTCCGAGATGCCGAGCTGCAGCGTGCTGGCGGTGATGGTGATGATGGCGGCCGTCTGGCCCGGCGCGAGCATGTCCAGCATCGAGATGGGCAGGGCGAAGAGGGAGCGGAGGTAGGTCAGACGGATGGCGGCGGAGATGCGGATGCTCGTCATGCGGAAGCCGAGCTGTGGTGGTGTTTGTTAGTGGAGTGTGTGGTTGGGGGGTGAAGGGGACTTACGTTGGAAAGGTAAGTGAGGATCAGTCTCGCGATGAAGAGGTAGACGATGTACAGCACGCCTTGGTTGACGGTGCGCGTGAACTCTTCTTGCGTCTCCTGCGTGCCTTGCTTGAAGAAGCCAGTGAAGGTGCCGACGAGTTGTCCTAAGATGTATTAATCGCTGCTTCTCTGCGAAAGGTGATGGTGTGTCACTTACCAAAGACAATGTTCATCACCGGCATGGTGAGACCAGCACCGATGGCACCTAATACCGACACCATGATGATGAGCTTGTCATACCATGTGCCATACGACAAGATTCTCTGTGAAGCTAGTCAGTAAGAGCTCATCGACACACACATGCATGCTAGACCAGAACAACATACGATGAAATTCCTCAGCGTCGCAACGTTCTTCGTGCTAAGCTTCCACCACGATCTCTTGGTAGCCGGTGGCGGAGCATTAGGATCCGTCGCGACCGCTCCGCCGGGGGCCGGCCCGGGGCCCGGAGCAGCTGCCGGCGCATCGGCAGTGCCGCCGGCCGGTGTGGCCATGATAATTGGCGGGGGTGGTAGGGGGGCGGTGGGTTGGTGACCGGGGTAGGTCGTGGGGTCCGATTCGACCGGGAGATGTCTTCCGATCCGGATATCTGGTGCTTCCTCTTCTATCGTAAGGTAGTACTGGATATCCTATTATTTGTCGTTGCAGGCTATGTGGAGGAGGACGACCGGGCCATATGTGTGTGTGGGGAAAGATTCGTTCTCACAAACAGGTGAAGCCTGGGGGCGGGCACCAGGGGGGAGAGATCGGCAGGCCGGCAGTGACAAGGGGGTAGGGGAGGTTAATGTGATTGTGTGGGAGGTGTAAAGGTTCAGAGAAGCTAAGTCTTGTACGAACAACTCGCGTGTCAGGATAATTTGTCAAATGGCAGCTTTCTCTCCCTTGGGGGGGTTGTTTGTCTTTCGATCCAAGGAACAAGTGATAAATCGAGATTGTGTCGTCCCGCGGCAACAGCTGAATGGGAAACACACAGAAAAGAGAGTTCCCAACCAGGGTACCAGGGATGGGGAAAGAGTCAAGAAGATAGGAGAAAATGAGAAGAAAAAGTGAGATGAAGGTGGGAGAGAGTTGAGCCAGCCAGACACACACTACACACAACGGATGTAACGCAAACGGGGGGCGAACAAGAAAACCACACCCAATGTAGAGACTTGACCAGACGAGAAAGCAGTCGAATGGCAAGAAACCGGGGGTGGGAGAGAGAGAGACGGAGAGAGTGAGAGAGCGAGAAGGAGAACACAGGGCAAGGGTTTGGCAGAGGAGACAAGGCGGAAGGGGGATGGGGGGATGGTTGTGAAATGGGGGGACCGGCAGAAGTACACTGCAAAAGCGCCGGGAAACGGGTATCAACGAGCCACCCGAGAGGACGACCTGCAGAAGCGGCTGTGCAGGTGCTGCAGGTGCTGCTGCTGCTGCTGCTGCTGCGTCTGGTGCTTCTGTTGCTGATGCTGATGCTGATGCTGATGCTGCATCGCCTGCTTGCGTGCGAAACGATGCGCGGAGGTGGGTTTAGGCGGGACCCCCCAAGAAGGACGAACAGCAGCGGACACACAAGGGAAGAGACAAAAAAACGACCTAGCGCCGAGAGAGTTGGGTTTGGGAATTTGTGAGATTTTGGGCAGCGGTGGGATGGGATTTGGATGGATGGGGTGGGAGGAGCGGGCGGGCGGGCGAGCGAGAGGGAAGCCAAAGATGGGCAGAGATGGGATGAAGATGGATGGGCGGGCGAGAAGTGAGATCATGGGCAGTGGGGAACGATTTGGTTCTTGCTGCTGTGGTGGTGGTGCTTTGGGGTTGCATGCAAGAGTTATCTTGGCCACACACCCCCCAGCATTATTTCTCCGAGATCATGATCATGATCACGCAACTTCTGCGTTTTAACCCGCTCTCTGTATTGACCACTGCGTGCCAAGGAATATCTGCGTTGCGCGCTGGGTTGGCCCAGAGTGTGGACTGCGGAGCGGCGGAGAGGAAGTGCGTGTAAGTCATGGTCACATATCTGCCCAGCAGTGGTGCCCTGTGTGTGTGGGTGGAGGAGGGAGAGAGCGGATTAACGCATCTCCACCCAAGCAGCAAAAAGCATAGCGAGAGCGCGTGGCGGGCAGCCAGATGGGCAGGATTTGGAGAAGCCGCAGGCAGATGGAGTGTAATGGGAGGCTGAGTTTTGGTGTCATGGTGTCGTTGCTCGTACTTCGTACAGCCAGCTGCACCCTTCGCTCGGTTCTTGGTTCGGTCTTGGGAAAGTGGAAACGAGTAAGGAACGGACGTCGTTTCTTCTTCTTCTGTTTTACCCGTGTGATGTAAAGATGAAACGGGGGGGCAGCACGCCGTGGTAGCAATTGATGGTTTACCTTACCTGAGGGTAAAAGGTACCGAGTGACTTTGCTTGGGGAAGCGTTGAAATGGGAGATGGAGCAAAGCGTGCATGTGCTTCTTCTTCTTCGTCTTCTTCATTGCTTCTCCCTAACCCGTTTTGCCCCGCTCTCTGGTGCATTTCTGTTACCACCCTCGCGCCTCTCGGGAATAATTAAAAAATGTCTTGGACCAATTCATTCTAGCAACCTTCTCTCGGCTTTTTTCCTTGTGCATCAAAGCGGCTGCAGCATATATTACCTGAGGCGTCGTACCTATGGGAGGTTTTGCGTCTTACCCACATATGCACGTCGGGGGGTTTTGGCCCTGGACCTGGGACAGGGATCGCCCGTGCGGGAGGAATGGGCCCCCTGCCCTGCACCTCTCCGGCCCACTCTTCTCTCTGTTGCGCTTCCCGGAGCTGGGTCTTCCTGGAGGCGCGTTTTGGGATTTGTGTGCCAAGGGTTGGCAGGTAGGTGTGCAACCGCGCAGAGCAGGCAACGTCGACGGAGAAGTGACAGAGGGAGGTCTGGGGCAAAGCCAGGACACGCATGTTTTGCGAATCAAGACAGGTTCGACGACAAATCATTCCCATGGCAGGGCAATCCCCTCTCCCCCCCTCCCCACCCTCTTGCTCCCCCAGTCCCTCCATCTCTGCTGTCTACCCGCCTGTCTTTTCTGTGGCACTCCCGTTTCCTGCTGATCCATCCCTCAATAGGTAATTTCATGTAAAGGACGGTTTTTTTTCATCTTGTGTTTTGGAAATATACCAAGTCATGATATAGCAAGAAAGAATAGGAAAGTAGGAGAGAGTAGCAGCCGAAATAAGTTGGAGTTTGGAAACAAACACCTGGTTCGCGGAGGGACTTTGACGATTGGCTGGAATAGAACAGCAGGAAAATAAGAGGCGAACCACTTAGATGTCCCGAGGATACACATGTAAATCGGCTGCTCTCACACTGCATCTTGTATGCTGTCTTGTGAAGTGGCCAATGTTCACTTTCCCTTTGGTCTCCACACTCGGATACACACGGGCGTGTTCGAGGAAGATCATGTGGTTCATTTTGTCCCTGTCCTCGATCGCACGGCCCATTTGTTTTTCTCGCCACAGGATTTGACATCTTGGTGAGAGCACTTGATGCGCGGGCGTTGGTTGGGGCTTGGGTCGTTGATTGACACTTGACATAAGGGGGCCAGCCGTCGGTCAATTACCTGCGGAGGACGTTTCTACCGGATCATGCATTAATGCGTCCGCATCCTGTCCACCGACATTCAAATCGCAATTGGGCTGGCGGGCGGGCGCATGGCAAGCAGGTGGGTTATTTGACATGTCTGACGGCTGGAACACCTGTCAAATAATTCAGAAGTGGGAATTGCCCATCTAGATTCAGGTGATTGTATTTTTTCTCGGCTCCTGTCTTAGTCTGGGATGTGTGGCATTGCCGGCATTGGGCAGCTTTGTAAAACGACAACCAAAAACAAAGACGTGGCCGCCACTTGGTGAATGGTAGGCGGCGGCACCATGATTTGCGAAATGGAAAACATATAGAAAAAACATAAAACCGTGCAAAACCCAAAAAAATAGTAATCCAAATCATTTCATCATCATGACCCGACTCCAGCAGGCTCCCCTGGAATATGCGACCCACGACACCGCGAACCCGTTCTATCTAATGCTTGCCGCCACACACACACAAACACATACGGGCGCGGGAAGAGATAGGAAACCAGCCCCTTGACACTTTCCTGTCTTGCCCTGCAACCCAAAAATAAGGCACAAAACAACCTTGAGCGATGCTTTCGATGCTAAATTATCCGGAAATACTCCCCTGGCCGGGATGCCCCGGTCTGCGGAGACGCCACAACATGTGTCTATTGCAGCAGACCCTCCTCGATCATGTCAGCCTTCGTCTCGCGGACAATGTCGCCAAGCTCCTTGATCGTGTCCTTGTCACGGGGAAGGGTGTGACCCTTGGCGTGGTCGAACAGGTAGGCGGTGTCAGCGTCGCACATGTTGTACAGAGCCATGGAGCCGTCCACGTAAGGATCCAGGGATCCGACTAAGAATGGGATCGTCAGCAAATCCACTCCATGCTCCTGTGCCTAAACATGATGATCCGCAATAACGTATCATGGCGATCATAAGAACTCACTGATGTGAAGGGTCCGGGCCTCGATCCTTTCGTCGGACTCGTCAGACAATACGAGAGCGTGGGACTTGGGGTCAACCGGGGGCCAGCCGGCGAAGAAGATGCCGTACTTGAAGGCCGGCTTTTGGCCGGAGCGCTTCAGCCGGCGCTGCTCGTACAGCATGAATGTCGAGGCCACGGTGGCGCCCTCGGAGTAGCCGATGATGCCGTCAAAGGGGCCGCGCTTCTGGACAATCTCGCTGATGTACTTGATAGCCCTGTCGGTGCTGCGATGCGTCGTCGCGATACCCTCCCTCATGAGTTCTCTCATGGTGTCTTCCGGGCTCTCGCACTGGGGGAAGTCGCGGATGCGGGCGAGAACGTCGTCGCTGTGAGTCTTCTCGACGTCCTTGTCGGGCTCGATGAAGCGGTAGTAAGGCGGGGCGCCGAAGTAGTCCTCAAAGCCCGGAGGCGGGACGGCCTTGCAAGGGCCATGAATGAAGTGGAACTGTGCCGTGCCGTCCTCAGAAAGCTCCTTCAGGATGGGAGCTGTGAGAAGTGTCAGTACATGAATTGCCTGTTATTGATGAAGCCGGTCGCGATGGTCTCGTGTGGCTTGCAGTGACAGACTCACCAAGTTGTACTTGGAATTTCTAGCGCGATCGTTAGTGAGTGAGCCATAGATCGCTGGGATTTTAGTACTCACGTCCGAGCTGCCATAGGCACCGGGAAGGCAGAGAAAGCGCATCGTAGGCATGGTGAAAGACGGCTAGCGTGACTTGATTGACAGCTGAACCGAGCGAGAGGGCGTCCAATGACAGTTGGACTAAAAAAGACGAGGTGTATGATATATGAAAGGTCGTCTGGTAAATATTTGTGGGTTGCGATTCTGTGAAGATGCGAAGGATGATGATGATGATGAATCAGCGAGCTGCAAAGATGGGATTAAAGATGAGAATGATCTGGCCAAAGGGGAGCGTTTTAATCAATTTGATGCTATCTAAACAGTGGCCGTAGGATGATGACCGGGCGTAGATGAACGGGCTGTCGGCTCATGAAGCAATCATCAGCTCAGACAGGCAATGAGACGGCGCGCAGCTGTAGACGCGGGACGATGACAAGACAGGAGGAGGCTGAGTTGGATCCATCCGCTCCCAAAGCTGGAACGCAAGCAACTCAAATCGACCGAAACCCGAGAGCGAATAAGGAAATTGTGAAACTCTGCACCTCATCAAGATTGCGGCAGGGGACGTGGAGTCGGTACCTTGCCGCGGAGAGGATGGGACCAGCATACACAGGTACAGGCACAGGAAACGGGACGGGTTGTGGTGGGTTGAAACTGGCGCGCTGCGCTGCTTGAGGAGCTCCTGAATGATGCCGTCCTGCTTGCAGTAGCAGTAGCAGCAGCAGCAGTACCGCCACACCTGCTGGAGAGTGGATGAAAGGGGCGAGGATGGACGACGAGTGGATAAGTTGGGGTGAGGTATGAGACCGGGCCTGTGGGCGTCGGTCCATGAGACGGGCTTGGCTAGGTGGTGGCCCGGCCCCCAGGTGGATGTCGAAGAAACTGGACGAGGATATGTGGGCAGCGAGAGTCAGACTGGGGGGCGAAACAAGCGCCGGGAGACGCCACGCCACATGGAAGGAATCGAGGAACGTCTGTCGGTGGGCTTCTCTGCAGGAGGGCGAGACATTTGGCAGTTGATTTGGCAGGCCATCAAAATTGGCAGAGGTGGCAGCGGGCCAGAGCCTAGGGCAGGGTCTGGGCATCCCGAGATCCGAACCCTCGGTGGACGAGGCGTTGGTGATGCACTGGTGCAACCGATGACATGCTGATGGCAGTGACTGGGCTTTGGACTTGGACGGCGGTCCGGTGTGCTGTCACCTTGTAAGCTTGAAACGGGATAAGGAAGTGCCCGCGCGGGGGCGCAGAGGGTGTATGTGACGGCTTGTCTATCTGACTGGAAGGACGAGCGAGATGTGCAATGAGATGGGTGGGCGGCAGAGGGTGAGGGCGCGAGGGCGGACGACGAATGGCGGGCATGAGTTGGACAAGGGCGATGTGTATGTGTGTGTACGTGCGTACATGAGGGCGAGTGAGCGTGGAATCCTGCGGATGATGAGTGAGGGAGATTGGGCGAGTGGGTGGCTGGGGCGATTGAGCGGCGAGCGTAGGAGTAGGCGCGTGTGTTTGCAGAGAAGAAACATTGTTTTGCAAAGATGCGTTTCTTCGGAACGACCGTTCGCTGACTTGCAGAAAAGATGGACAAGTTGCGTCGATAGTTGGGGGCTAGGCCAGGTACCGGGACCCCTGCAAGGTCGACCAAGACGGCGTTTGCCGGGATATCCCTTTGGAACGGTTCGTGTTAGCAACGACTGATCTTCAGGAAGCGCAGCGCAAGGCAAGGCAAGACAACGCAAATTTGGAGGGATTGGGCTGCAGGGACAAGGGCCAGGGCATTCGTGGTGCTGGCGCGTGTCAAATAAGAGCTTTGATGGTGTAACGGCACGGGTAGAAGTGCGACGGGCGCGCTTGTGATTTGGAAGCTGCCAAAGCTTTCTGACAGAAGCAGTTTTAGAAACACCCTCAATGCCTTGGGCTCCTTGGGGTTCCTTCCATTGATTGGGGGTGCTGGGATAAGGCGAGGTCGACTTGAGTCCGAAACCGACCAACTTGACTCGCTGGTGGATGGATGTTGTTGCGGTTGTAGTGGGTTGGCGGCAAAAAGAAGATGTGATGAGGATCGATTGACGTTACGAGAAAACGAGGTCAGGTGGGCGAAGATGAGTGCACCGTGACGTTATTGGCGATGTGCATATTGGCGTAGAGTGGACATGTCTCAAACGGTGCATCGCATTAGCAGATACCAGGATAAGAGAAGTGGGTACCTGCCTTCCCTGCCCGGGGGCCGGATCCACTGGCGATAACCATTTTTTCTGCCTCACCACGCGGTGGTGGTGCACTCAGGGTCAGAAACATCCACCTCTCCTGCGGTGTAGCGTCACACTGAGTGCGGGTGACACCACAGGTGGGGAGGCTCACCTTACCTCGACTTCACCCGGTGCCTCGGTGAAAGCAAAGGTGACCTAATCGGGAGACAGATGCGACCATTCCTTTTTCGAACGGCGGCGCAGGACCAAGACCTAAGACCCAAGACCAATATCCAAGACCTGCATTGCACACCAGCACCAGTTGGTTGGTTGCACCGGACCTGCAGCCGTTCGCACTTTGGTTCCTGGCCTCGGCTCTTTCTCTTTGCTTATTGGGCGCCGACTCTCGAGTAAATAGCCGCACCGTTCTTGCATTCTGTATGTACGCACCGTGGCACCCCTGGAAGAACTCCCCCACTCTATCCCGATCGTCTCTGCAACCGCCGTCATTCTGTGGCAGTCCTGGGTCATGTAAAATGGTGCTCGACCTACATTCACCCAAGGTGCTAAGGTGGGTGATTGAAGATGCGATAGGCGGCATCGCCCGGGCGGCAGACAGGCAGCCAGGATATGGCAAGAACAGACGCTCTGCTCGACGCCTTTCGCCGCCGCTATTGCGATTGTCGGTGCTTTTGACACAAGACACACTCTTTTCCAAACAGAACAACAAACGAGCGCCGATGTCCAGACCAAGAAGACAAAAAACATCCAGTGTGAGTGCGGACGAAGAAACCAGCACCGCCTCCTTGGTTGGCCCTGCATTTCCGCCTCCTGCATATCTCACGGAATCAGGCAGAGTTCCAGCAACTGCAGCACTGTCTGCAGTAGGTATCATGACCGGATGATGGCAGCCTGGAGTCTTGCACATCAGAGATCCCCAATCTTGGCCTCCGTTCTTTGGGGCGCAGGCAGAGAAAGCAGAGACGGGCTTGCATCTCCTGCTCACTGCGCCCCATCATCTCGTCTTCGGGCAGCAGTGAAGTGAGGGACTTGGGACACTGGGGCGCGCAGGATCCTCTTCATCCTTCTCCTTGGGACTGTCGTGTTGTTTTATTGGCTCGCCACGACGGCGGGAATCTCCATGTCGCCAGACATCGGCCTCACATCCCCCCAAATAGCTCACCCGGTATTTCCCAAAGTGCCAGTGTGCAGCCATGCAGACCTTACCTAATCACCCATGAGGTTCAAAGTGTTCCATGGTGGTCAATCGTGATACCAATGGTATCAATGGACGTTAGTAAGGGCAGAGGTCAGGCACAGGTCTGACGCAGGGTTGGCCGTTGTTTGGTGACCAAGTGAAGGTGCCTGCCCGCCGGCCCGCAAAACCGAGTCCAAGGCTCTGTTCTGCTCTGCGCCGCGCTTGCTGCTGCCCAGTCCAGTTGCTGACACCGGCGCAGTGTTCAGGTGCTGCACGCACTATTTGCGCTGTCCAGAGTGCACCTCAGCAGCAGGGTAACGGCAGCAACGCAATCGTGCCGGGGCAACACTGCTGCTGAGATGCTCCACTCCGGCCATGGCTCGCCCGTACCAAGAGTGTGCTGGCCCCCAAATGCCCAGCGTTCAGGGCCTCAGTGCTTCTTTTTCAGTGGGTCGTCCTTGGTTCCTCTGGATGGATGGCCCCACTCCGGCGTCTGGACCCGCTTACCTCATCTCCAAGCTCCGGGGGACCAGCACCCAGCACAAACACCAACACCAATACGAACACCAACACCAACACCAAACCAACCAGCACACGCATAGTAAGCTGGGCCTTCGCCCTCCACCACCTCACCTCCGAACCACGCCACCGGGCCCCCGTCCGGGAGGTTCGAGGGTTCATTGCGCTCCATGTCTTGGTCCGAGTCAAACGTCCGTCTTTCTGCAGCCTGCGTCTGAATGCGCGCAGATGCACGCCAGTCGACCTGTCTTGCAGTACTGCTGCTCAATTGCAAACAAACTAAGGCACAATCCGACAGCCGTTCCATCAAAGACAAACCGTTCTTGCAGCCCTGCGCTCTTTCTCGTCCAGTCGCCTCTCGTCGCCTCTTCGCCTGTACTCGACAGTCCTCGCCCTGTACCCCCCGAATCGAGGTTACCGATTGGCCCTGCAGATGTACCTGGATCAGCCTGCTTGCTTGCTCTCGCTGTGTGCCCAGAAACCAGCCAGAGACAGCCTCCCAGCTCCGGTGACCTCCCTCCGCCGGTAAAACCGTCCCCGGAAAAGGTTCCTCGGGCGAGATGAGCTGATGTGGGATCCCCAGCCCGCAGTGGCCAACAAATCCCGTTAAGACGCATAATCAGTTCATCGAAGTTGCTTTTGGCCGAAATGACTGTACACCCAGGAACAGAGACAAGACATGGAACCAGCTTCTCGCCCGCCCGGCGCAGCGACCACCTCCCTGCTCCCTGCTCCTAGAGGATGAGGGGGGGAGGCGACGTCGTGGCCAGCAAGGTGTGCCGCTGCTCCGCTGCTCCGGGCCTACATGGACTGCCCGGCATCGGATGTGCCCTGGCATCTCTCCGTGGATGCTCCAACTACACCAGACGCTGCATACATTCCATGCAACACGAGTACCTCTCTGCCACCCGTACGCCGTACGCAGTACACACTACTATGCGGCGGCCAATATGCACGTTCGGGATCTCCCTATGATCTACCTAACCGTCAGGCAAATCTAAATCACACAGGCTAGTCTGTGCGAAGAACTCCGGCCGACTTGGCGATCTGATCACCAACCAGTCCCTTCCATGTCAACTCACCCGCGACGGAGCGAGCACCATGATTCTTCCCCATGCCGTTCATCAGCTAAAAAGCCTACAAAGAATCCCAACCGGGACCACCACAGG